TGGTGATGTGAAAGAGTCATTACTTGGTAAGCGATCATCTCTTCGTTTTCGTTCTTTTAGAGAACAAACAATCTCTATTTTTTTCAAATCAGTAAAATTACATATCGTTCCTTAGAATAGAGAAAAACGAGGAGATATGCTTTCATAGACACGGCAGCCACGATTAAATCTAAACTACGCTTTAATTTGGCTGTACTTCAGAGCACACATCTCTAAGCTTTAAAACTCTCAAGGTCTTGAATCCAACAGCAGCTCAAGTGGAATGGTAATACTTCTTCGTCTCATCCAAAAAACAGAATGGAAAAACTGTCAAAATACAACATTAAACACTCGATTTCACGAAATATGATGAATGAGCATCGGTGGAAGAGAAAGAATAAAATTGCAGTGAATCGCCATTAAAACCGGGTTTATTTTTAAAGAACGGCGACTAGTTTGATTGTGTTGAGCAAGAGTTTACAGGGAAAAAAACACAAGAAAATCGTATACATCTTGGTGGAAGTATAATGAAAAGTATTTTGCTCGATTAAGTCGAATCTTAGTAGTAAAGTAAATGAAACGTGCGCCTTCTTGAATGGAACGAAAGAACAAAAATACAGATGTGAGTATTTGAAAGAGAGAAGAACAAAATAAAAGAAAAAATATGCAGTGTTTATTTTTTGTTATTGTGACGATTTGTCAACTTACCTATCTGACGATTTAAAGTGAAACAGAGTCTTTAGCTTTCTTTTTGGTCTCATCTACTTTTTGTTTTGTTTTATCAACAACATCATCTTTTTTCTTTCGTGCTTGATCAACAATTTCTTCGCCTTGTTTACGTGCATGATCAACTTGATCCTGAGCTTTACCACGAAGATCATCCACTGATTTCGTTAACATTTTAACTGCATCTAAATAGAAAGAAATAGGACTTTCACTCATTTTGTCAACATAATCATTCTCAAAAAGGAGTTATGTGAAGAGGCTAAGATGTTTTCTTTATTTTATTCGCAATGCTGCGTAAGAACGATCGTTTTTTGCCGTTTATTAGGTTTTAGATTTCATTTTAGACTCAATACCATTTGTTGTTTTGGCCTTATCAAAAAAAGGAAAAAGCTTTTTACTTTTATATCCACTGTTTCTCGTGAAGAGTTACGCATAGTTGGTTAATGCTGAACTTTTTTCTCTATTCTAAGGAACGATATGTAATTTTACTGATTTGAAAAAAATAGAGATTGTTTGTTCTCTAAAAGAACGAAAACGAAGAGATGATCGCTTACCAAGTAATGACTCTTTCACATCACCA